GATGTATCTGATCAATTGTACAAGGCCAGATATAGCCCACTCTGTTAGCAGGCTTAGTAGATACACGAATAATCTGAATACTACTCATTGGAAGGGCATTATGTGGGTGTTAGGTTATCTATGCTACACCTGAGATTATAGGCTACATTATAACATATACCCAGCGGTACTAGAAGGGTATAGTGACACTAATTGGATATTTGATATAAAGGACTCCAAATCCACTAGTGGTTATGTGTTCACCCTCGGAGGGGTAGCCGTGTCTTGGAAATCTTCCAAGCAAACGTGTATATCGAGATTAATGATGGAATCTGAGTTTATTGCTTTGGATAAAGCAACTGAAGAAGCTGAATGGCTTCGCTAGTTTGTTAAGGATATTCTATGTTGGCTGAAATCTGTGCTTGCTATTTGTATTCATTGTGATAGCCAATCGGTGATTGGACGGGCACAGAGTAATATGTATAACGGAAAGTCTAGATATATCCATCGTAGATATAATTCCATACGACAACTACTCTCTAATGGAGTTGTCTCGCTAGACTATGTAAAGTCTAAGGACAACATTGTGGATCCGTTAACCAAAGGGTTAACTCGAGAGTTAGTAGAAACGTCGTCAAGAGGAATGAGGTTAAGGGCTTTAGTAATGTTACCAGAATGGAAAACCTAACCTAGTTGACTGGAGATCCCAAGATTTAGGTTCAAAGGGGCAACCTAATTTTGTGTAACGGGTGAGTCACTAAAGAGGTAAATCCTTTTGTCCATTCCTTTGTGTAGTGATACTTTGTGGAGTGGAAGGTTAAGTTAATACTTTTAATGACCTAAACAATATGAATAATCAACCGTGGTATAATGAGATACCTTATATAGGTCACCTATGTGAGTGCAAAATAAGACCGCTTCTTTAAGAATTAGTAAGACCGAATTTTTTAAAAACACTCATTGAACGATGCTAGTGTTCCAACGCCATACCGGACACACCAGTGAGAACAAGAACAATGGTTAGACTAACTCCTATGTGAGGTCTATTGTCTCAGTTTACACAAAAGGCAGAACAATTCAAGACATCATATTCATTGGTTAGCCAGTAAATCCGATATTGTTGGAAAAAATAGTTTTATGGTGACTTTAATATGAAATTAAAGTAGGTCCTAACCATTGGTTGAGGTAAGATTAAATGGGTTTAGATTCTCTATAAAAAGATCTTTACACCACAAAAATAATAACAAAAAACTATTAAGAATTGAATGAGAAATTGTCTCATAAAGTTGGCCTCATAAATGAGGTATTGGAAATTGTGTATAACTACCAATCCTATATTGATTGTAGAGGAAAATTTTGATGGGTATTTAAACCTCAAGATTTTGGTAAGGGCATTTGCCCTTTGGGGCATTCAAATTTTTTGAAGGCATGGAGTCATGGATGCTTTAAGGATAGGCTTGGGCCAAAACTATAGTCCAAGTTGGTTATACAAAAATTGCCACACATGTGCGTGTGCGCGCCGCCTGCCCGCCTAGGTCGGGCCGGGCCAGGTCTTAGTTTATGGTTCGTGGGTTGTGGGTCGTGGATCTTGGATCTTGAGGCTTGAGACTTGTTGGAATGAATTAGGTTTGGGCTGGATTGGAATGGTGGTCCACCAACCTAATCTTTTTGGGCCAGGTTTACTGCAAATATACACACATGTATATATAGAGTATATAACTTATACACTAATTGACCCATTAGTTTTGGTGCATTACTCTATCAGTTTTGCAGGAGTAATGGCCTGGATTTGGTGCCAACCTTGATGGCTGGAGGCTCATCCTGTCTCCCCCATTGTGTATAAAAGGAGGTCCATCTTCCTTGGTTTGATACAAAATTTTTTGGCTTCCATACTATACAGTCAGTTTGCTTCTATAATTTTCTTTCTATGTGAGAGAGTGCTGCCATTGTCGGTTTGCCAAAACTAACAGGAGGTGCTTCTGCGTTAGCGGGTCTAGATCGTCGTATCCTAGGAGACAAACACCGACGTACATCCTGTACCCACAGTGAGGCAGCGGATCTATTTTAAGGAGACTGTGGTATCACATAGGCTTCGGTTTGCTTTCTTTACTATTTTGATATATTATGTATTTTTGTGCAGTATGGTTGTAATTTTCAGCATGTTTTCTTATTCTGTAATTTAGTATGATTAATCATGAATCTATTTATCTTATTTAATCACACAATTTTAACAACATATTCTAGGGGTGCTTATCTAGCTATCGCATAGATTTGGTTCTACCCAAATTTTACCGGTTCACCCCAACATTTCAAGGTGACATATAAGAGGGAACTTCTAATAACGTAATTCCATTCCCAAAAAAAGGTTTAGACTGCGCACTACAATCACTTAGGACTGTAAATGAACAGACCTGTTCGTGAACAAGCTCGAGCTTGGCTTGATAAGAGCTCGTTCGAACTCGGTTCGTTAATTTTTTTTTCCGTTCGAGCTCGAGCTCAAGCTCGTTAAATTTTTAATAAACAAGCCCAAACATTCTAAAGCTCGGCTCGTAAGCTCAGCTCGTTAGCTGGTTCGTTTAATATTTATTATTTATCTATTAAATAATATAAAATTATGTATAAAAAATAAGAGAAATATGCTATTTATATGTTTAAAAAATATAAATGTAAATAATACTTAACTATAGATAGTACATTTATATAATAGTGGTAGTAGATATTATTATTTTAGTAAAATGTGGATTTTTTTTAGTATGTTTATGTATATTGTATATATAATTGTATAATCAAAGTTTTAATTGCAACTTTAGTCTCACATGCAAGTATGAATTTATAAATTTTTTGGCTCGTTACGGTTCGTGAATAGGCTCGAGCTCGAGTCGAGCCTAAGCCAACTCGGCTCGAGCTTGGTTCGTTAAATTTTTATTCAGCTTGAGCTCGTTAAAATCTTAATAAACAAGCCTAAACACACTAAAGCTCGGCTCGACTCGTTTGCAGCCCTAAATCACTGAGCATTTGTAATTATTCAACAAAGCCGAGGCCAGCCCGTGATAATAATTGAGTCATTATGCCTAGGTTGTGAGGGCTCTTAGCCATACAAATAATCCAATGTGCTCATTAACACCTAACCCTAAGACGTGGACCATCCAGGGTCGGCTTTGGGCAAAACAACTAAAGGTAAAAGGGTCCAAACCAAAAGCAAAAGCCAAAATTTTTCTTCTTGTTAGCGATTGAAAGAAATAAGAGAGAGCCCACTATCAACAAATACATCAACAATAACATTCCAAAATTCTTGGTCTTTGTGCTTTTATGTGAATAGAGAAATCACTTTGTTTCATTTGGATAAATTATTGGGATATTTACTCTGACATCCATCTCAAATTTTTAATAATGGGAGAAGATCACAATATTTCTTTTTGTAACCTAAGGTCAGTCATCCACACTCATATATTACACCCACTCTCTCATTGTCTCTCATCTTCCCCAAATCGAGACGGGATCGAAGAACATCTGCTAAATAACACCAAAACTAGAACATATGCCGAATAACAAAACCAGAAAGAGAAACACAAAATTGGAGAGACTCCATATCTTGAACTAATTGAGCGACTATAAGGGCCTTTCCATTAATGTCCACAAGGTGACAATTGTGGTACTTCCATTTAATTTCAGAAACCTCTATTCCTACCTCCATTTTATTAAACTCTTTGTATTCTATGCGATAAAATTCTCAAATTTTCATTGACAAAAACTTGCAACTATTTGTTTTTCTCTTAGGTGTATAGAAGATATAGACACTACTATGATCAAATGAAGGCCGTGGTGTCATCTTTTGAGGCGGTAATGGGCAATAGGGCTGCAGTGGTTTACTTGGCGTTGGCTTTTAAGGCCATGTGTCAGTTCACTTTGTGAAATTGTTGTGAATTTTATCTTCTGATTCATAAATTGGTTGTTATTGTTGCTAATTTGGATGATCGATCTGGTATGGATATATCATCAATTTTCTCTGGTTTGGTCAAAACACGGAGAAAATTATGAGCAAATCAAAGAAAATAAGTTGAAACACAGAGAAATTTGTGAACAAATCAAAGAAATTTCTGTACTTTGAAATTTCTCTGATTTAAAATTTCTCTGGATCAAAATTTGGACCTCAACCACTATGAAAATATTACATGTCCTTTACCCTATGGCCATGTTTGATTCACAAGACTAATATGAGAGGTATTAATAATCCTATCAAATTAATGTGGTATTCACTATCCAATTAGATTAATAGGATAAATTATCCCCTTGTTAATTGTTTGATTTGTGTTAGATAAGAAAACATATGAAAGTAATATTACAACTATATTCATTTTTTTTTCCAATCTTACTCTCTATCAATGTTTCTTCACAATCTTTACTTTATCAAAATTTCTTCATAAACATGGTTTTGAAAAAAATTATAAATAAATAAATAAAAGCAAAATAAAAATACAAAATACAAAGGCCATGTTTGGTTTTTTTTTTTTAATTTTTTTTAAATATAAACTAATTTGATAAAATAAATGTCAAAAAATATTTTTAAATTTTTAAAAATTATTTTTGGCCGTCTAAAATATAAAATTATATAAAAATAATAGGTGTTTTAATTTTTAGTCAAGGGTAAAAAAGTCTTTTTATTTTATTTCTCAGCTTATGATATATAATCTCACTCCTACTCCATTACTAATAATCCTACAAATTTGTTGGATTAATTATCTATTAGATTAACAATCTTGAAACAAAATTTCAAAACAAATATAAGATTATTAGACTTACGGATTAATAATTCTAATCTCATACTCTAATCCTGTCAATCAAACATGCCCATAAAGTCTTAATACTAAGGATCTTAAAAAAAAAATTCTCCTCAATTATCTTTGGTATTAGGAGATAATTGATCCCTAATTGTTTTCTTTCTTTGTATAATGATTTTCTTTCTTTGTATAAAGAAAATCATTCTAATCTCATACTTTGAAATTATCTTTGTTTCTCCTAAATTATCCCTAATTGATCTGGAGTCCCTAATTTCTATACTAAGGATTTTCTTTCTTTGTTTCTAACCTGCTCCCAACTTGTGTAGATGTATGACCGCCCTCTTAATCAGAGCTTATCATCAGGCTCATCATTTACAAGGGGGAGCAACTCCAGCTGAGGCGGTGCAGACGGTTTTTTGGAGAGCTTCTGTCTCACATAAACAAAGAACATACAGCCAATTAGTGTCACTCCGCATCCTACAGCATTCATGGCCGAAATGGGATTCCGGAATATTGACCGCGAAGCCAAAATGGCAACTGCAACCTACAAAACCAGTACAAGACAGTAGAACCCATGTAGAATGATGATAATAAAAAGAGAACTAACTCGCCATGTTTGGTTTCATTTTCTTTTCTTTTTTGGAGATTTTTTTTGTCTTTAGAGAATTTTTTTCATATTTTATTCAAGATTTTTTATTTTTTAAATTCACCTAAAATGTAAAATATTTGTGAAGAATTTTTTTTTTTAAAAAAAAGTTCACTATAGATAAAAAAAAATAAAAAAAATAGAAGAGCATTGATAAAGACCTCCTCCAATCACCACTCCCACCACCCTACACACATGTGGCGGGTGGTGATTGGAGGAGAAGAAAAAGAAAAAAAATAAAAAAGAAAAACTGGCTAATGGGAGGGAAAGGGGGTCAAAGGGAATGGGAGGGCAAGAGGGACTCAAACATTTTTGTTTTTCATAAATACTCTACTCTTTAGATGCATCTGTTTTTCTTTTTTTCAAAGTGAATAATATATTAAAAAAACAAAAAACTCAAATAATTTTTAGTTTAAACTCCAACAAAGTGAGTTTGGTGACGTATTGAGATGCCAATTTCACCTAGAAACGAGTGAAATTTCTTACAAGCACAAGGAATGATAAGTTTTATGAGCACAAGGTATGACTCAATGTTACACACGGTACTGCACTATTGTTTGCATCCCCAAAAAAAGTCCCAAGTCATGATCCGAAATCAATTGAAATATCTACAAAACGTTTTGCCTACCACGAAGCAAAGTTCCTACCTAATGAAGAGGCAGCGCCTCTCTTTTCAAATTCAGACGGCACAACAAAGAATTCTTATAGAAAAAAGGTAAATTTTCAGAAGCGATACAGCATCAAGTAAATGTATTTCTGCATCATAAATTTCAAGTAACAAAACCCACCTTCAAATTACCGGCAACATTGAATGTGACTGCAGTGGTAGAGTGAATTACATAAAAGATGGAGAAGTTAAGACAGAAGGCCAACAATGACGAGGAAACAGAGGAATGGTTGTGGAACCAATTCATGACCCCAATCCCTTCAAGCACTATAGCTGGTAACCCCATGATCATGGTTGCAAAAGGCGCATGTAACACACGGTATTTATACTAAAAATAAAATAAAACAGAAAAATTAGAGGGCTAAATTTATTACGAAGAGGAATGAGAGATTTTAGAGGGCTAAATTTACAAAGGTAAGCCAAAAATACTTGTGAACAAGTGAAATGGTGTCATGTCATCCAACCACACACTCTAGCAACATGGAAACTCAAATTATATATGCTTTACCCAATTAGCATTAATGCCATATAGCAGAAAATCTGATGGTTTATAGAATATTACAGCTAGCTTAAATTCAAAATAATTGAATATAATTTCTTCTAAACAGTGGAGTTGGCTTTTACATTGCCATCTTGTGAATCATATAATCTAAGTTGGGCGATGACCTTATAGCTTTGTTTACCATAGAACTTAATGGTCTTTGATGAAAGTACTGCAGTGATTTAAGAATGCATAAAATTCCAAGTAACATTTAAATTCATTTAAAATCCTTTCTATATTCAACAACCATCAAGCTCCATAAGGACCCTGTGAATAAATGATAAAAGACTCGCCACCAATTCAACATCTAAAAGCCAACTAAAATTCAACTAAAAGCTAATGGCATCCTATGAAACCATGTAGAAAACAGATTTGAAGGTGATATGGAGCGTAATGGCCTCAAACATCATATATCATGTACATATATATATATATATATGATATTACAGGTTTGTAGGTTAATGGCTAAAGAATATCAAGAACTCATGACCAGAAATTACAATAAATTGACATGCACCAACAGAGATATATTGATGCAGTATGTTGAAATGAAAAATGGCATAGGAAATTGTTGGCTTTTTGGCTTTCGAAGGTTAGTATTATAATTTTAAGCGTGCCAGCAAGGATCAATCAGTCCTTACAGAAGATTAATTGCCAACCAATTATAAGACGATTGTGTTTCAGTTCTTTCAGCCTCAATGAAGAGGACTTTTACTGGTGGCTTGTTTAGGAGAATTTAGTACACAACAATTAAATGAAGAATAATTGCATCATTTCATTAAGCAAAAATGAAAAACTTACAATAATTTGATCCAGTCTCGTTGAGGTTTACAGCAACAAGCTATTCGAAACTACTCCTATGAATAAAGTGCAATACAAGAATTTGAAGTGTAGAAATGTAAAGAACAAGAAATGTAAAAACTGGAAGGAAACTAAAGTAGATAAAACTGATTTCTGAATATGAGTCTGGGAGCTCTTTCTGGGCCTTCTCTGCTATTTATACTTCTTAATGATAACCGTCGAAATGAACTTCTAACCGTCGAAACATCCCTCCATGATCGCTGATCATGCCCTCTCATAGTTAGCTTCACTACGCTATGCCTGCAGTTAGGCTTCCCTCCTGACTTTGAATTTGAACCGTTAGGCCACATTACCTTATATCCCTTGATCATTCCAGTACTATGCAGACCCATTATTACCAGTATAGGTTGACACGTGTCTGATTATGGTTGGCAATTTATATTACCTTCCCAAACTGCCCTTCTCATTCTACGTGTTGAATCGTGATTGGCTTATACAATTTATACAGCCAACATTACCCCCCTGCACTAATAAACCCAATACTTGGTGATATTAGTGGATCAAAACACTTCACCCACGTCCTAGGACGTGCATGGGTTTCACATCTTCTTAGAACTGTAACCGCCTGCATAAATTCTTTTCTATACCTTGAACATTTCCCTACTAGCTGAGCATTTAAAAGGACTAATGCAGCTCGCATGGCCAAACAAACTTTCTTTGACATAGATAGAGCATATGAGGAGTTATCAGATAATAATGTTTGCCCTCGAAAGAATTTCCATGCATTTATTAGCCACTCTTATCCATCTCCCTATATTCAAATCATGGAAGCTTTTGCAAACTATCGACCTTTGGATTACAAACTGTAGACACCCCATTTTTGACCATCCTCAAGACTTGGACGTTATCATTTGAACACTCGATGATCATCCATGCTCGTGTTCGTTTTGAGTTCCCGAAGGTCTCAGCTACGCGCCTTGCCTTAAGATCTCTCAACTTGTCTGTTTTGTGCTTGGTTGTGGACCAAGGACTTGTGGTTTTACTTCTGAGGGAAGATGGTGGCTTGTTGGCCATCCCTACAACCCATCGGCTAAGGCCTTGTGCCATCGGCCATGTTTTCTTGTTGTCAGCCATAAGTGATGGCCAATCGGCACTCTTTTTGGTTGATCAGCCATATCTTTTGGTCGAGACCTTTCCACCTGCTTTTGCAGATATTTTTGTGCCAGTTGGTCAGCACAGATTTCATGTATGGAGGGATTGATTCAAGTCCTTAGCTTGTTCAACAAGCTTAGGAATTGAATTTCTATAAGAAGAGAGACCCCTCTCCCTTTCCAGAGGTTCTGAAAAATTGGGATAGAAGTTATATATCACTCTCTCTCTATATTTTCTCTCTCTTTCTATATTTACCATTGTTTGTGCTTAAAAGTGTAATTTCTTCACACTTTTGCCCTAAAGCACCTATTAGAATAGCATGCTCTTGTTGCTGAGGTACTTGAGGGTTTTGTTTGAACTCTAAGTTTGGTTTTTAGCTCAGAAAGTTGCTGGAGTTACCTCTTTGAAGTGGTTCTACAAGAGTGAGTCACTAACCTTCTTTTAAGCTTTGTGTTCATTGCTTACTTAGCCTTATTTGCATGCTTATTTTGGCTTAACTCTTAACTATGAAAGTCTTCATTTTCATGTGTTTGAAATGATTGTTTAAGGTCTTGTTGGTGTTGGGGGTGATCTACCTCATTGAGTGCCTTGTTTTGCCTTGTTTTGGGCCACCTCTTTAGGCTTTTGTTTTTGTCTTTGCATGACCTTTCTACCACTGAATTCCAGAGAAATTTTAGTGATGGAAAGAGTTAGAGTCTTGAATAGGAGAGGGACACCCCCCCTCTCTTTGTGTCTTATATGCTTGTATTGATAGCTCATAAAAGTAACATGTTTGTTAAGCTTGTTTTGGCTCCATCTTAGCATGTATTAGACCTTACTTTAGCATGATATACCTCTGTCTAAGGTTGGTTTGATAGCCTCTTGCATGCACCATGCACTTGTAGTGCAATCCTCTCTATTGCCTTAACATGCATCATGTCCTTGATCATCATTCTAGCATGATTTTGGCTCAACTCCAAGAAGCTTTTAGCCTTGTTTTACCATGCTTAAGCTCTGATTTGTGTTGTTTTGGTCATACATGCATTGCTTTGTATAGCCATGGTTTAATCTAGCTCACTAGTTTTGTGTGTTGAGTCCATTAGCATGCATCACTTGGACTATTTTCATGATTTTGCATCATTTGAAATATGATTTCAGTACCAGTAAAAATGACAATTTGGTAGTACTTGTATAGTCTACTTACAGACACCGACCTAGGGATTACTAGAGTTGTATTTATTGCCCTTGAAATAAATTGTTAAGTTTTGAACAATTGAAATTGCATGACATCATTGAGCATGATGATTTTCAAAAGATGAAAATATGATTTATCTTCAAAAAAGACATAGCATGACATGTGCATTTCATCTCTTAAGACTTGTATAAAATGTATATACTTTGTTAAGAATTTCCAACTAGGCTTTATGCTCACCCTACGGGATTTTTGTGCAGGAAAAGATGTGGTGATCCCACCCAACTAAGGGCGTGGAAGTATGTGTGTTGGGAGTACAATGCTCTCATTTTGTGTGACTGTGTTTTGTAAGCCAAGGGATGTATATGTGTGGGTTTGAATAACCGTTTTGTGTAACCAGGTTCAAACCTTAGAAACTTGTAAACCCTTGAGAGTATTTATTTGTTTATTTACTTATTGTTGGATTAATGTATTGTTGCATGAAAAACTATTGTATCATGTAATGCAAGTGTAGAGAATTATTTCTGTTTTCCTTTAAGGAGCCATGATGGTTGTGTTATCATTTGGGCATAGGAAATTGGGGCGTTACAAATCAGTGATGAATTCATCACTGTATAAATATAAAAAATAGTAACAACATACAACATATTCAACAAATCAATGATAAATTTATCACTGATAGATCAATCATACTGAAAATTCATCTCTCTCTAGTGACAAAAATGATAAATTTATCACTAATTGTTTGTTAAAAAATAACAAAAAGAAAATCTCATTATCATCGTCACAAATTAACACAAGATTCAAAGACATATTTAGTAATAAATTTAGCAGTGATAAACACATTCATTAATAAATTTCTCACTAGTTGTTTATTAAAAGATTACAAAAAAAAAAAAACTCGTCATCGTCGTCACAAATCAACATAAGATTCAAATAAATATATCAGTGATACATTTATCACCGATACACTAAACACTACAAAAAAAAGTGTTTTTTGTGAGGGCAAAACGCCGTCGCAAATGCCCCATACGCCGTCGCTAATACTTTTTGCGATGGTAATTTGGTTTTTTGCGACGACAAGTGGGGGTCGCGACAAAGGGGGTTGCAAAAGGGCTTTAGCGACGGTAAGTGCCATCGCCATTGTTTTTTGTGACGGGAGAGTGCCTTTTTTGGCGACGGCAATTTTTTGTCGCCAATAAGTGAAGAAAATCTGAGTTTTTGCGACGGTACAGTATTTCCGTCGCTAAAATGGGTTTTTTGAGACGGCAAGAATACCGTCGCTAGAAGAGTTGTAGCTGATAACTATTGGCGATGGCAATCTGAGCCGTCGCTAAAGGTTTATTTTTCAATTACATTCCATAGCTTTTGCGACAGTATGGGTGCCGTCGCAAAAGCCTCGTACAATTTTTTTTGCAACGGGTGGCATGCCGTCTCAAAAAAAAAAAAAAA